CAATGCATATCTAGACTGATAAATAACTGACGACAACCATTTCATAAGATACATTTCTAAAAAGGAAATTGATAATTGAAAAATCAAAAAAACCCCCTCACTGTGAATCCAGTAAGGCAGATTATCATATACATATTCAATGCTGAGTGTAAAAAAGTTAGTATATTACTAGCTCTTGCATCTTTGGTGTTGCACTGAAGTTATTTCAAAATATTCATTTAGGCATGGAATTTATATGAGAGAGAAAGCTTAAACTGAACAGCAAGAACCTAAATAATTAATTGGAGGAAATCCCTGTCTGAAATTATCCATGGCCTCTCTATGAGTATCTCATATTAAAGCAAACCAAAAAAAAACCTTTCTGAAGTTCACAAGTCACAGAAACTTAAAATCCACTATAGGCCACTATGGTTTTACCTTATCAAACATGTCTCCATTTATTTAAATAAGAAGTTTTCCTGTTAGATGATCAGCACACACCAAAACCCCTTCAGATACTGGGTTACAGAAAAGTACAAAGAGAACGAGAGGTCTTGTTTATGAACAAATAGAGTAACTGGAAATGATCCCAAGCCAGCTCCCTCTCTCTATCCACCAGTCTATGTTTTTCTTTTCCACTTGCTGCGCTAATAAGTTGGTTTAGTATACATTTCCAAAATCTCATTTTCATGAGATTGGCTATTTCAGTTCTCCTCCTTTTAATTGACGTATTTTTCTGCATCAGAAAGCTCTTCCAGACTACTGTCTATTTCAACATCAGTGGCAGCTGACGAAAAACATATTTCAAGCTGTGAAAAAGTGCTCCCTTAAAATCTACTTATCCTTGATTATTCTTTTTCCTAAAGCAAGTAAATATTTACATCCTGAAACACCATCACTTAATAACAGCAGCCCCTGTTGTTATTAAGTGACGTCACCATTCTTTTCTTCCTTCCCTAGTTTTCCTCCTTCTCCTAACCTACCACTGTCCCAGAATGGCAACAGTGTTTTCCACAGGTGTTCCCCAACTCCTTGTCTCTCTGTCGCCTCTCCATAACATTATTGCTTCTTCCTAAAACTCTTTTCACATTTTAGGCAGGGAAAAACACTCAAAAGACATTGAATAATAGAAATTCTTGTCTCTTCTTCCCCCCCACCCCCTGAAGCTATCTGAAGCACCTAATGTTATTTGTCCTCAGCGACAGGTTTGTGGATAAAAACACTGACAATGGCAGACAGCAATGAGATGACCATCAACCTTGTTGTGCTTGGAAAGACTCAGACTGGCAAAAGTGCTGCTGGGAACAGCCTGCTGGGCAGTGCAGACTTTGAGAGCCATCTGTGCCCCAGCTCTGTGACCACGTGCTGCAGCCTGGGACGCAGCGCCCGCATTTCGGGGCTCATCCGGAGGAACGGCCGCGAGTCAGCGCTGCGCGTCCGAGTGCTGGACACCCCCAGCTACCCTCACAGTGCTCTGAGCAAACAGCAAGTGAGGGACACCGTGAGAGCAGCCCTGGCTCAGCACTTCGGGGAGCAAGGCCTGCACTTGGCCCTCTTGGTCCTCAGGGCTGACCTGCCTCTGTGTCCAGATGAAAGTGACGACACCATTCAGCTCATCCAGGTAACAAAACAAAAAAAAAATAGAAGTCTTTGCCCTAACGGCAACTCTTTCATCTTCAGGTGACAATAGCTATGGAAGTGTTGACTCTTCCATAAAAGAAAAGTGAAATATTTTCTTCCATAAAAGAAAAGTGATTTTTTTTCCAACAGCCTAATGAATTGCGAGTGGCAGACGCTAATTTCAGAACAAAGACTGTAATAGATTTTGAGTCCCCAGCAAATCAAAGCTCTCTCCTCTCTTTCTGAAACTGGAACTCAAGACTTTCTTGGGCAGCTTAAAGGAAAATTTTGTATGTGCTTGGTATTTTTCATCCCTAGGTTCTAAAACAGATTAATCACTATCAATACACCAGGTGTTTTTGACACCCCACTTACCTTGGAAGTAAGCAGACATCCTTTAAAGTAGTTTTATATACCACAGCATTTAGGTTACAGTTAAGATCACTGCAGTGTCCTTTATCACCAAGGCAGGCTTCTTGTCATATACCGGAGTTAGCAGGATTGCCCCAAAGTCGTAATTCTATTTCCACCTGTAAATTAAAGCCCAACCTCTCTTATTCCTATTAAAATTTTCTGTACTTTCTGAAAGAAAAGCAGCTTGTTCTCTCCATTCTCCTCCATCAGATAAATCACAGAAGCTGAAGAAAAGCTCTCTGGCCCATTATTTAAGGTGTTGCATTTGATTTGTGTTTTTCCTGAATTGCTGAGAATAGTTGAATTTTATGGATCACAGTTGGAACTGAAGTTGGTGTTACATAGAAATTCATCACTTATTTTTTCAACAAAAGGTGCTTCAGTGTTTTCAAAAACATTTTTGAAGACCTCTAAACAGTGTGGCAGTATGAGTATGTGGCAACTACCGATTCCAAACTAATGTGTGACATGGCCAAACAACCATTTTTCCTTACTTACATGAACATTTTTTAACTGGAGACATTCTGTTAACATCTGTAGCCAGGGAACAGAGAACTGCTAGTACTGCATGCCCACATATATCCACTGAAAGTGGATGTATATGTCTCAGAAAGGTGAAAAAAGACCCAGAAATTTCAGCAACTTGGATAACATGAACTGGATTACTGCCAGGGGAAAAAAAAAACCATACAAGTAAATGGTCTGGTAATGTACTAAGCATATGAAATGGGAGTGGGGAAAAGAAATAGGAGATAACTAGTTAAAATTTGCTTTTCATTACAGGAACTTCTGGGTCCCACGTGGAAGGATTTCACTGCAGTCCTACTTACTCATGCAGACAAGACAGGAGAGGCTGGATACAGTGAGGAAACATATTTGCAGAGCGCATCAAGTACCCTGTTGTCACTTTTGAGCTCGGTACAGCATAAATACATCTTCCTAGACAACCACAACAGCATAATTAGAGAGGAAAGAAATATTATCTTAAGAAAGCTCTTGAATTTCATACAAAGAAATAATTATCAAGTACTACTTAAACACAGCAAGAAATAAAATTAGCTTTAAGGTGCTCACTTGGCTGTTTTCTACAGTAGGTAGCATCCAATAGAAATAAAAGAGTAAAAGCCATCAACTGAAAAACTCCACATCCATACCAAACATCTTTGAACACACAATTAGAAATATCTCTTTAGCTTATCAAACTACTTGCCTTCCACAGAGGACCTCACACTACTGCATTCAAAATCTACATTCAGCCACAAAATCAGAACAAGCTAGTGATCCAAAATCATGCTCCTAATGTGTGTGTAGTTACAAATGGGATTTTGAACTACACCAGACTGTATATTCCAGTTTACACAGAATACAGATCTGGAAAAATAAAATAAAATTTAAAAAGAAAAAAGAAAAAGAAAAAAGAAAAAGAAAAAATGCATGAGTTCAGACTCAGGAGGCCTTTTGCTCAATTCTTCAAGCCTTCAGAAGGTTCCTCTGAACTTCCATTTCTAAAAAGAGCTTTCCGATACTAAAAGCTAAGATTTATCTGTTGTAAAAGTATTCCCTACCATCATTCAAGATTAGTTATAAATGAGTTCTTGAACTACAATGATTTTATTTAATAAGACATTTAGCATATACAGTTTACAAGGCAGATAAAATGGCTTCCATGTGCTTAATACTATTCAGCACATTTAAAAGAACTAATTGCTATTACTTATTGCCAGATGCATGAAAAACTAACAGTTTACAGGCACAAACAAAACTCATTCAAAAAGAAAATCTGTTCATATCTTCTTTATGCATGTTCCTTTTAATTTTATATCACTGTCATTTTGTTTTCTCTCCACTTACTGGATGAAGTTCAAAGCCTGCAAAATTTAGAAAGGCTCAAGTTTGTTTTTAATTTTACTATTTAAAATAGTATTTACTGTTTCAATGGTTACACAGCAACAATTTAATTTAATATTATATGCAAAAATATCTGAATTATCTCTACATAGCTACTTAAAAGAGTTATGCAAAATGGATCCAAAATATTTATTTTCATATTACTGAAAGTAAGGAATTAAAAGAATGATTTTGAGGCTAATAGCCTAGCAACATGGCTATTTGTACATTACTATGAAATAATTCTAACTCTAAAAATTGAAGAAGCTATTTCTGTTAAAACCAAAGCACTTTTTGTACAAAACATCATTGCATAAAAGCACATTAAAACAAAACCAAAAAATCAATTCATTTTATACCTGTTTGAGCACTGGAAACAGATTTTTTTTTTGTTTGGTTGCTTTTTGGGTTTTCTTGCAGGCTGGTCTTATGGGGTTTGAGGGTTTTTTAAAATTTTTTTTTATTTCCAGGAATCTGTTATTAATTATTTCTCAGTCCTACCTATTGGTTTGGAAGGATATACCTAGGTGGACTAGATAAAGAACTATTCTAGCAAAGTGGCAGCTTCGATCTTAATGAAATTATAGCAGTTTAGTTCTGGCGACATGAAAACGTGTCCACTTGAACATCCTAGGGCATAAACCACCATAGCTTAATCTTCCAGTTACAATTGACTGCAGACTACAGAGAGAACACAGGCAAGAACAAAGTTGCAGAGGCTTACAATACACCTGAAAACTGCCTGGAGGAAGAGGACAAAAACTATTACAAAGTGGCCAGAAGAATAAAGACAACTGTGATCTTCACTAACTGGCTGCTAGTCCTGCAATTAGCACAAAAGGAACACAGCAGAATATTTTCCTTATTTCCTTTAGCTCTTGCTAAATAGAAGCTCTACACCTTCAAGCTGTCCAGAAAATTTACTTTCCTGCCTGTGGTCCCACCACAAACAAGCCTTGGCAATTAAGTTATGAGCACTGAATGGTTAATAACTGCTGACAGCACACAACCTCAAGGACAACAAGCCTAGTGAATGAGTGAATTGTCAAAATGTTGGAGATGTAACATATTATGGAAAAGAAGTCAAAAAAAACCAGGTCTTAGCCAGACATTTAATGTTTTTTATTCTGCTTGCATCACTTTCCATTTCAACCTCTGTACAAGTTTCTAGTAACCATTTATTTATTTATTTATTTATTTGATTCCGCTGTTTGCCATGGTCTCTGCCCTGCACACTCCTTTCCCTTTCACTTCAAATGGAACTCCTTTGTATGTAGCAACACACTGGTCATTGGTATGAAGATCAGGTTGGATTTGCTCCCAAATCTTCTTCTTTGGATTAAGTTCCTTCTCAGGATCTCCTGTTTCAAAACAAAGAATAACCTCATAGCACACAACTCAGAACAAGAGCACCATGTACTTACACATCTATGACAGCCCACACAGCATCACTGCACACACTTTTAAGGGATAAAAACCCTAACATTCCTTTTGATTCTCAAAATGAAAATTTTAATTGGAATTAGGAATTGTCTAGGAAATGTCTCCTCTCTGAAAAAGAGGATCTTTGAAGTATCAGATACAACAAAGGTCGTATCAGACAACAAGCACTGTCAAAAGGAAGAAATTAAACCATTGCTGTTAGTTTATACTACAAAAGAATTCCCAAGAATTAAGTACATATGGACCACAGAGGTACACTGCTCACCAAGACATGTTTGTCAGCATATTAACTTTAGAAATGAATGATGTTTTTATAAGAAATTAAATGCACTTAGCAGATGCTGTTACAGTTGTGGAGTACTGAACTTAGACAAGAATAGTCCAGAGGTAGAATACTGACATATAATTTTAGCCCTGAGTTACACACTGTCCTGCTATGCTTTGTATTGTTTGATGACAAGCTGTAGTGCCCAAAACAACAGAGGCAGTAGAAATTAGCTAGTTTCAGCAATTATGGCCTCAGTCTTGATAAGCCTCAGTTTCCTGCTTCCATGGATATATAATGATAAGATATCTACACCCTACTGGTATTGACAGTAACTAACTACATTAGCAAATCTGATCATTTAAGGATCTCAAATGACCACAAAGTGCAGACTTCTTCTATTAATGTTTGGAAATATTGTCAACAAATTAGATAGCATAATGAAGAATATTTTTCCTATTTTTAAATAAGCATGAAATTCAAAGCACAGACACAAACCAAACTACAGGGATTTTAACATATCTTTTTCTAATAGGTGGTTGAAATTCATCACTGCTTGCTAAGTCCTGACTGACTCACCAACCAGTGGTTAAATCCACTATTCTCATTCCAGCCTGTCTTATGCCTTATTGGTATTCTCCTTTAAATGTGTTCCATAGTTCAGTCTACTTACATTCTCAATGCCTGCAAACCTGAGCTATTTCTGTCTGTATGGGTATTCTGTAATGTCTGGGTGTGTGTATTCTGCAGTTTCTACATATGCAAGAGAAGCAGACTAAGCCAGATTTCTCTGTGAAGTAAGCTAGCCTTATCAGGGCAGTATCTAATAATCCAGTCAAGTTATTTCACATCCAGATTACATTTAGTGTTTCAAAGAAAAATCAGTCACAACATCAATAATTTTATTTATATAATATTTATAATTAATATTTAACAAAGGAAGAAATTTAAATAACTCTAAGTACTTAAATAATTGCACTACTAAATAAAATTAGTAAATGTTTAGAGTTAATTGTGCATTTTCACAAAGATAAATCAGCTTAATGCTCAGGTTCATGAACAAAGGCAAACTTGGATTTAGACCACAGTGCATGCATACAAACTAATAAAATCATTAAATAGAATGTTAAGTGATCCACTGTACATTTTCCTTCCTCTCCTCAAATATAAAAAGCACATGATTTCTCTTTTTCAGTAAGAAAACCTCCTGACTTTTATTATAAAAAACAGGCCTTGGATGTTAATAAGTTTCTCTGGAATCCTTCGTCAAGCTCCCTTGGGATCTGTGGTGAGCTCATATTAGATTAGCATAGGCACCAATTTTAAATACTACCAGAGCTTTAGGCTGTGATTTTTCCTATGCTTTCTCCTCACTGCATTCCTTCTTCCCAGTAAATATTCTTTAGAAGAGTTTCTATAAATAAAATAAATTGACGCTTTTAATGGTTTAATCAGTTTTCCACTCTTTTTACGAAAAATGGGCCAAATAAGAGGTCCCAAATTTTGTTAAACATATCATTCCATCTCACTGCTTTATTACAAAAAATTTTCGTAATAAGCAAGAAACCTCTCCACTTTGTAACAGTTAAAAAACTGCTGAAAGAATATATCTCAGCACAGCAAGGGGCAAAAGGACAGAGTGATGTGTGACTTTACTTAATGCCACTTGCCCCGAAGTGGATTGTAACCATGCAGCTGAAGGAAAGCAGGCATACACTCTAGCTTTGATTAAAAAAACCTGCTAACTACAGGCTAACCACTGCACTCCAGCTTCTCCACTTTTCATTCTTTTAAAGAGATAGTAATCCACTAAATTGCTAGTGATTCTTAAACCTGAATGGTAATTTAATTATCTAATTTAAGTAACAGGTTTTTGGTTCCTGTGGCATCAAAGTATCTGATACTGCTATCAGAAAAGAGATTTCACAGTTAGCTATAAATCTTCAAGTATTTTGGCCTTCTTAAGGCAATTACTGTGCACGAGGTTACAGAATTTACACACACACGATAGAAGAATTCTTACACAGTTTAAAAATCAGACCTTTTCTAGTGAAGACGGATAAAAATTTGATAAGTTCTTGCAAAAAAAGGCTCAAAAGACCTTGAAGATTCATGCACTGGAGTATAAAACACTTCAGTATTAAAAATTCCACTGAGGGCAAAGACACCAATTAAATAAGCAAAACAGAACAGTACTCCAGGCAACAGCATTCCTTACCAAATCACTCCTCAATAGCACTCAAGATAGTTCTAGGTAAACACTCCACTAGCTACAGAAAAAAATTTAATTGTTTTGAGACAAGATATCATTTGTTTACTTTGACTAAAATGGCCAAAGAAAATTAGTCTGTATCTCATGAATATTTTGTATAATGGAGAGAGAAGACTTAAAAATAGCTTGACTCCAAGCTGCTTGATAGACAGCTGTGTGCATTTTAGAATTGCTTTATTGTTGCTGGTGGTGCTTCTGTTGCTTCACAGACTTTCATACTTCAAACTTAAATAAGATCCAGCTGTCCTTTCTATTTTAACTTCAAGGGCTCCAACTGAATCTTTATGCTTTACAATTACTTTTTAAAACAAAAAAATTGATCAGAATATAAATGGTTACAATTAAGCAGTGAAATTAAATGACATCTGACACAACAAGGAATCTATCCTCCTGGAAACTGCATCAGGCAAGTGCCAGATGGTCTTTGAGGAGACAGCAGCAGCCAAGAAGCAGAAGGTTTAAACACAAAAAAGGTGAGTAGAAGATAGATGTTCAACCCTGTTAAAAACTGAGAAACTCAGTTCTCCAGTCTCCAGTGGTCTTCCCCATCTCCCAATGAGTTTCCCCCTAATTTAGTTTACAACAGCAACATTGAAAAGACAAATACTCAACAAACAAATGTACAGAAACAGATGCCACCACGATTTTGTAGGTCTCCATCTACCAATGGATTTTTTTTTCATCTTCCTACTCAAGATAGTAAAATCACAAGTCTGAAAATTCTTTTAAATAAGTTTTATGTAAGAAGAAGATAGATCACTCTACTTTGTAGTACTAAGCACTAGGTAAATTTTCAAAGTCAATGATTGGCTTAAATCTCCTACCTACAAAATTTTCCAAACAGCTCTTTATGAAGCAGTAGAAAACAGTGTAACATTTCAGACTACAATCTATAGACCTGGATATATACACCTTTCAAAGGAATTGCAAAAACCTTCATTTGGCACTTAGCAGAGCCCCATGTCTTTGGCTCTCCACCAGAAGGAAACTGATATAATCCACACAAAATCTTGTCTTACTGGCTGCAAGTCATAACTTCAGAACTAGAACAACTTACACATCATATTTAGCTTATCCTGTATCTTTTAAAGATCAAAATGTCAACACGGTATCTGCATACCATAACACCTGGGAATTATTTTAGAACAAATATCTCTATAACTGATTGCTCTAGGAAAGCTTTTTGCCAATGTAAAAAACCTAAACAACTGGAGTCAAATAGTTCAATAATTTTGATGGAACTCACTTCATCAGTCATGTGCAAGAACAGATATGCTGGTGAACAGAAAACAGTGCTACTACCAGCTCTCACATTTTCAAATGCCAGGTATATTAAGCTACTTGAGATGTAAGTTTGGAGGAAGGCTGTATCTTAGACAAAAGCAAACAAAAATCCTCCTCAACCTGGACAAAGAGCATTTTTGAGGGCTGAACCTGTACATCATTTTCCAGGGCTTATGCACTGGAAGTGTTTACAACTTGATGCTCTCTTGCACATCCATTTCCACAGCAACAGATAGCAGTGTGAGTGTATTTGTACCTATGATTCTTGCAGGTAACAAAGGCCCAACATTTAATCCATCTTTACTCACTAGATGTGATAACAACTAGAAGCCATGAATGAGTATTCCTACAATTTAGTCAACGCAATTGATTGCTGAGGCATTTAAGATTTCAGTGCAGCTAATGAATTCAACTAGCAAGCTTGGTATATTTTTAATACAGGAAACTAAAATGGAAAAAAAATTGCTGACTGATTTCCTTTTAAAACAGTATTATTTTAAAGTACTTTCAATTGGAGCATTAAATCACAGCAAGCTGAGCTATTTCTTAATTTCATAAAACACCTAGATAGAGCATTGCTTCCTTTATCATATTCTAACCAAAATATATCTTTTTTTTTAAGCATCACAATTTCACTCTTGAGAAGTATAAATATACATATATACATACATATATATTTCTGAAAGGTATTTCATGCAAATATGTTTAAACATGGAGCTTGCCAAGAGGTTCATAAATCAAAACTCTGCTGTACAGCTAGAAATTGTCAGAAGTGCAATAGTTTATAAAGGTTCATATGGGTCTATGCAGAAAATAAAAGTTACACCACTTTCTCACATGTGAAAGCCAACTTTTGAACAATAAACTCCTGAAGATGAATACTTCATTGATAAATGCACACACATACACTTTCACCCAGTATGGGAAATACTGGGATTTGGAGCATGTTCTTTCAAGTTTAAGTGATGGACTGATCCTGACCAGAAGAGCACTGCTCACCAAGACCTCTGTGATCCACTTAACCAGCTGACCTGAGTAGCTCTGGGCTTGGGCTGTGCTGCAGAAATTCCTAAATTCCTTGGGTGCAGGATAAACCTAGGCAGCTGATGATTGTAGGAGAGGAGTCTACAGTCAGCTCCCATGTGACACCAACAACTGAGCCACCTGTGTGTCCTCACCTTTTTGGGACAGGGCAGCACCAAGTTCTCACACAAACTTCCTTTATGACTGGCAGCCACAATGAGTAAAAAGATATAGCAATAACTCAAACAATGGAAAGGGAAGAAACTCTCCTTATGCACAGTGTGCTGCAGGTGCATTCCCATAATCTGTGACATGTAAGATTATTTATACTAGTCTCTCTTTTCAGACTCAGCTATTAATAAACAGCATTTTAAATCAACATGATAAACCTATAATGCTTTGAGTTCCCAATATGCAGTCAAAAGTTAATAATTTTCATTGAGGTGGAAGAAATGGAAAAATGGATGAGAAGTCGTCTTTTGATAAAGTTTAATTTGATAAAATTCTCATTTATATTCTGAAAAAAGATGGATTCATTAATTTAATTAAGTGGGGAAAGGTCCAATGTCTTTCTTTGGAAACCTAAAAAGATATTTTGTCCCAGACAAACAAACAAAAAACCCTGGTGGATTTGAATATTACAGGCTCCTCTCATGAATAGGAGACGTTGTTCCAACTCCTTCTATCCCCTCCATCCCTTCTTCCTCAAAAAAGAAAAACTACCCAAAGTTCTGACACTTTCATTGCAGAGAGGAGCTGGAATTAGGAATTTAATACTTTACCATTTACACTGAGACACTCTGAAAGATGCTTTACATTTGTTTGTTGTAATTTGCCAAGTACGTTTATCCATATATATCAAAACTGAAATACTTACTGACACTTAAATAATGGAGTATTTTTCATTTAAGGTCTACACAACTTTATCAAGTTACAATTCTTTGACAGATGATAAAGTATTTTCAATCATTTATTTACACAATATTAGCATGGTAGTAAAAAAAAATTAAAAACAAGAATTAATTCAGAAAATTTCAACAAAAAACCCAACGAGCTTTAAAAAAAAGCTGTTTTATGTGCTTCAACACTGAGGTTACCTTGGCATACTTGTTTCTATTATTTTCCTAAATAACTACTTACCAGGAAAACCTTCAAAAGTGATTCTGTCCCCAGGTACCGCTCCAGGTGGAGGAGCCAGAATTTCCACTTTTTCTGGGGAGCTGGCACACATCACCATTGCTTGAGATACTACTCCTCTCATCTTTGCAGGCTTCAAGTTACAGAGTAGCACTGCCATCCGATTCTGCATCTTGGGGGAGGAAAACAGAAGGATGTGAGTACTGAAAATGGCACGTGGCTTTGGGGACTCCCATTATTTCATTAGAATGAAAGAATTACAGTGATGAGATCTTACCATGACAGCTGAAGCATAAGAGAAGCATGTAGCAACAGATCCACAATTTTAATGGCTGGACACTAGTAACATAACATCTAAACCCCCTAAGAGCTGGCCAGTAAATAAATGTCGAAATGTAACATATTTATCATGGAAATATAAAATATTCAATTTATTAAATTAAAAACCAGGCGAGGCATTTCACTCTCATTCCATCTTTATGCATTACTGACAATCGCTTTAGTCCACTTTCAATATAGCACTATTAACGAAACAATTCCTATTTAATTATAATAATAATTTAATGATGATAATAGTAAAAATAACAACAAGTCTACAAATTAGGCCCATAGGTAAAAAATTCTAAGTGTATCCTGGAAGCAAAGAGGTCTTTTACATAATGAGCTTACTTGAATCCTAAATTTTATCTTAGTTAACCCAAATGCCTTGAGTGGTTTTTATCCACTGAAAATGGCTGTATATACTGAACACTGTATTTGTTAGTGCAAACATGCAAAATGTTTCTCTGTTTGTTGTTTTATTTTAATAATTACAAGAGTGAACCAGAGAAAATACTTTGCTGAGGAAAAACTGCCACAATTTAAAGTCTAAAACAAACCACACTTTGAAATGGAATCAAAATTAAACCCTGAACATTCTTAAGAGACAAAGTAAGGATGTCTTAATTCCCATGTTACTAGTGCACATTATATAGAAGTATTTAATATTTCTAGATTTTGGTCTTTGTGCATCACAGTACAGACTTTGAACAAAACCAGCAGGATTAATAATTGATCAACTATTTCAAACACTGCATAAATGAAGCAGTTATAAGAAAGAGTTATCTTGCATCAGTTTCAAGCCAGCCCACTGACTGAAAATTTCTCAAGTTCTTGCTATGGAAATAAGTAGCACAAAACACAAAAAACAGTTGTAACATGTCAGTGACTAAAATGGAAGTTGTAGCATTATCTAGCACTGAGTAACAATTAATGAATGAAAGGCTAATTATTGGGTGGACATCACAATGATCTAGAAAGAAAAGATTTCAAGGCATCTAAGTGGAGGAAAAGTTTCTGCTAGAAAAATCGTATATAGTTCACAACAGATGTAACTGTAATGTATCCTCTTACAGTGAATGGTTGGAGAATAGCCTTTCTGGAGGATGATGGTGGCCTTTTCTCTTCTTGTTAAGTTTAAGAAACATTCCCTACATTCCTGTTTTTCATTTCTGATCATTGACATGAGGTTCTCTTAGGTTAAAGAGGACGAGGTGACAAAAAGTGACACTGGAGAACTGCCTGAATTTCAAGAACAATTGCTTGAAACAGGTATTGATGCTAGGAACACAGAAATCCACTTCAAAAAGCCAAATGCAGTGGCAGAAAAGCTGCCAATTCCTTCTGACATCTCAGAAATTTCCCCACAGTCCCAAGCTGCCGAAAGAGCTCAGCAGTGGCATGGTGCACCTTGTGCCAAGATCCCTCCACATCCCTGTTACTTGTGACACAACTGCTCATGACAATAGAGGGTGCAACTTCTGACATGGCTTCACCACCACGGGAACAAAACCCACAGCATTTCACATATAAAGTGGGCATGCCAGAAGTTTTCACACCCATAAATAACTTGCACTGCACACTGAAATGTTAGTCAAGATACATACTGTGTTTCCTAACCAAAAGTAAAATCAGATGATACAAATACTACAGCCTCAAACACTGCTAAATTACCACATCAAACACCAAAATCATAAACAGCTGAATTTTTGTGAAGAAATTTATGGCTATGGTCCTTGATCTGATGTATATATTTTTATTTCAATATATGGCAGTAGAGACATGCCAGGCCTTCACATTTTTGAACACTTCAAAAAACACAAAAAGATGGAAGCTTGCCCCTAAAAATTTACTGTCTTAAGAGAGACTTGCCAAAACTGAAACCAGACAGGCAAACAAAAATGCTCTCAAAGAACGTGCAAGGATGATCCCTAATTCTCTGTTAATGAATACTTCAGATTATTTTTCCACTCAGAAAGAAGGTTAAAAAGAAAAGACTCCTGCTGCCATTTCATTCTGTACACTTGATGTTTCTAAGTATATTTAGAATGGCTTTTAATGTTTTCCTCTACATGTTTTCTTGAAAGCAGGCTGCTAAAATGCAATCAAGTTGAGATTTTGCCCAGTGCAAATCAAGTAAGTGGGTACCATCAGCTGATCAGTGCAGAATAGTTACTCTATTCAGGTGGGTTTTTTTGGTTCAGTAACTTTCTGTAGCATAAAAAAAATAAATCACAATTTTAATTGTTTCCTATGCTTGCAGTCTTCCATGGGGACAGTGTGCAAATAAAGATTGAAAAGACATTTAAGAAAGTGGAGCTTTTTCCAGGCTAAGATCAATTCCTTCATGATCCATTTTGCAGTTGCTCTACACAACACTGTTTTAAATGCCAAGCTTGCATCTGAATTGAGGAACAACCTTCAGTAAACTCCTCTCACCCTCCAGAAGAGGTGTGAAAGGAAAACTAAATCTTGAAGTCTCAGGTTGTTCAAAGGCACCCATGAACCATCTGTGTCAAACACCAAAGCGTATCAACTGAAAAAAGCATGGACACAGATTCTATTCTGCACAAGGAAGTAAAAGTATGCATTTTGTATTCCACTGTTGTTTAAGCTATTCATTGCCAGCTAAGTTGAATTTACATGCTCTCTGCTTTACTTCATGCCAAATATTTCAACAAGCTATAAAAGAGAATTGGAAGGAAAAGGTTTCAAAAGTTTGGATCATACCAAAAAGGTTACTATGGCTTCTCCACTACATAGTAGGAAACCTAAAGGAAGAGTAACATCTGTTTAGTTTAGGAGTTCAGTGTGCACTGATGGCAGAGGAATTGGAATAAGATCCCAGGACAGAAGTTTCTGCAATCAGAAACTGATTTGGGGTAAGGGTACTTCTCTGGTTTTTGGCAAATGCTGTTAAGTATTACTTCCATCTGCATTTTATTTTTGTTTTCATGACTGTACAAATCTTTTAGCAGAATAAAAACATATCCTATAAACAGATGAATGCCTTAAGATACTTTAGGAAAGGAAAAGCTATCAGTAAATAATTTTGTCAATACCTTATCCAGAGGAACATGTTTCACTAAACCACTGACAACAGTCCTTGGGCTTGCTTCACCAACATCCACTTGTTCAACATACAGAGTGTCTGCATCTGGATGCTTTTCAGCGCTAATAATGCAGCCAACACGAAGATCCAGATGAGAAACATCTACAGGTTTCGCATTGCCACTTCCAGCAGCTTGCTGCTGTTTCTTCTCCTTCTTTTCACCTATTAGAGAACATTTTGTTCCATGAAATAAACATTAAAAAAAGCACAACTAACATATATGACTACTGCAAGGGAAAAGTGAGCTACAGTCTCAGAAATAAGCATAAATTCTGTGCAAAACACAAAAGAATAAAGAGTTAGCACCTCTGTTACCAGTTTCCAGTGGTGAATTATCGTTCACACTTCCATTTATGTCATTACCTAAACTTATGACCACCTTCTGTTTGCAAAGTCACCCTGAATTTAAGTGTAGCTAATGTGTGACACACATACTCTGACAAAGGCCACATGAATTATCTGATCATCCCTTTCACATAATTAGCAATTACCAGTAAGCCTTGCCATGGTGTTTCAGCAGCAAAAGGAAACTTGAGAATCACAGTCCAAAGGGTTATCAGTGCTTATCAGCATGGTACACAGTCACGAGCTGTGAGGTCACTGCAGCTGCACTGTTCCAGCTGCAATGCAACTCTTCAAGATGACATTAGCCAAAATTCTGCACTTCCCAAACACAAGAGTGCATGAAAATGCTCATGGCTTATGAGATGCCCCTGGTGTGGTGCCTTTACCCCATGATCATCACAGAAAAGACTGTGTAGTATAAAACAACATTGAAGCAAAACTCCCCATACTCAGCTGCTTATATAAATCATGGAATCATAAAATATGCAATATTCCTTTCAAGATGAGCAAGTTACATGCAGTTTATAGATAAGACTGTGCTGTTTTGGAGACATTAAAGACTTGTTTAACAGCTATAATCTCTGGGAGATTAAAAAAGTCTAAGATGTGCTTACCTTAAATAAGCATATTCTGTTATTCTTTCATCCAAGATAACTTACATATTAATGTAAACTAAACTCCCTTCTTAATGGAGCAAAAAAGGTAAAGTGGACACAATGTGCATTTTGATTTCATTCATAATTCTTCTAGTACAGGCATGAACTTAAATGATACATTCAATAATAAAAAGGCAATTTTTTTAATATAAGCAACAGCTCTTCAAAAATACTTGCTCATTTATGATGAAAAGCTCTAAAAGCTCTAATGATTTGGGTTTTTAATGTAATTGACAATTTGATTAATAAAATCAGTCGTATATACAATAATATAAGAGACACTGGATAAAAATCCCAATCAAAATAGCTAACATATAATACCTAAGATCATTTCAAAGACCTGCTAAGTTTATCCTTGGTATAATTCCACACTGTTCTCCATGACATTCCTCTACAAGAGAAATGAAACCTTTCCTCAAAAGAGAACACAGCAAACGCGTACACGGTGTATATACATACAGATACATAAAAAATATCCATTTCAATGCCACAGGCTAAGGAAAAAAAATGCACTCCTCTGGCCAGTGTCAGAGTCAGTCCAGAATCCATATACAGAGAAATCATACAGATAAGATTTGCAAGAAGCAGAACAAAGAAGATGAAAATAACCAGAAAGGAAAGAGATGACATTGGTGACAGAAAGCAAAGGGATTTGAGATAGTCCATAATTTCATTAATTTCTAGACTCAAAAACCAATTTTACGTATTGGTTACTTCAACTGTTAAATGCAATACCTACAACAGATGCTGAACTCCACAGAAACAGCCTGTGCAGGACTACTATTTAATGTTTGTGCTATATTTCAGCATAAGACAAAAGTCTAACACTGCTTTCCATATGAGATGAGCTGAGTTGGTCAAAGCATCATCAACACCAAATTTGCGGGTTCAACCCCTGTTTGGGCCATTCCCTTACAAGGTGGATTTGATAATGCTTGTGGGTCCATTTCAACTCAGAATATTCTGTGATCTGTCTTTGTCTGACTGAATTTAAGCTACTTGTATTGTACTTTCCCCCATCATATATAGAAAGTTTTATTTTTCCTTATAACTGAATGTTTGCTCTGTAGCTGCTGAATACTTGAGGGAAAAATTTAATTGCCTGCTATGACATGTGGCCTCTGCTTTTGTATTTACAGCTCTGTCGAATATTAAGGTGTCAAAGGCTGAAATACATTAAAAAATATAAAATAGCTTATAAGTAGCTGTACAACTCACCAGGAAAAAAAGAGACTGTGCGCTATCATAATATCCAAATTCTGCAAACCTGTGCAAATCTAATCATAGCAAATTAATAATAATCTGCATAAGAGAATGATTGCAAAACACAGTAAGTTACAAGATACAGTTGCACAGAAGTACAAGTGTCCAACAGACATGCCTTGTTTTTTGCTGGTGGTGTTTTTTTAAATGAGAAAGTGCAGTCACATTAAACAGAATTTGGCATGTATCCCATGCAATGAAGACTGTAGCTTACCTGACAACCATCATTAGCTTCAAGTATTTTCAAGATTTAAGAGCTAGCATGACTCTTCCTACTGTAGCTGTATGAGAGCTTTTTTTATCAAAATCGTGCAAAAGCACTTGCATAAATTAAATACCTCAACTGCCTATCAGAGATAAGAAAAGTACCTTTTTTCTCTACTTTTTCTTTCTTTTTCTTTTCTTCATCTTCACCTTTAATTTGATCTTTGGAACCAGAAGATGCTGTAACTGCTGTAGGTTGTGGAACATTCTCCGAAAACGAAGTTGTAGAAAGGGTTGTACCAGTAGGAACTGCAACTTGCTTTACTAAAATCAAAACCACAAAAGTTAGGGGCAGCACCGGAACTTGGAACACTGACATTTCTAAATGTACAACGTAGATGAAAGAGCAGAGAGAACTGAAAATTTTGCTTAATATACTAAACCACAACCGCTGAGTAGTGGACCACATTACAAAACACGTTTCAGAACTTAATCTATATATGATTATTATGATCAATAAAAACAAAGTGTTCGATTACACATTTTTATATGCGAAAAAGTCCTAAATACAAGAAAATATATAAGCAAACAACATCTCTTTTTGTAGCTGATTTCAATATCTAGTTATTTTTTTTACCAATTCCCTATTTCCCATTTGTTTAGTTTCAGTTTATAGCTACTAGCTCTTGTCATACTGGAGACTATTCCATAAATGAGTTATGCACAAAAGCATTTTTACAGCATATTCAGATCATCCATCAACTCTTATGATTAACTTTAGAAACTGAGCCTGAATAAAACAAAATTACCTGCAGCCCTAATGTGATCTGCTGATTTCTCTTTTCTCTACATTCTCCACATTACCTTCAACAGCTCTATTTAAACTGCTGATACAGTTTAATTCTGTAATTCTGTAATTCAGTTTAATACAGTAATTCTGGAGATTGCACAATCAGTCTCACCAGACGGAAGTGCAAGAAGCACCTCTCTTCTACATTCTGCTCTTCAAGAATCTCATCAAGGCTTTTAACCCAATAATTGCACAGGGTAAGCATCATCAGTGCACTAGGCAGTACCATCAAGGTTCCCTTTCCCAAGCAAGGTTAGATGAGAGGATCTTTTCAAGTTCCTTTCAATCCTTTCAATGTTTTATCATTAACAACTGACACATTCTTCTGGTGTCACCATGACAGAATTCTCCATTCAGAATACATAAACTGAATACATGCTTTATTTTTCATTTCAGATATATAACTTTCCTTAAGAACTGCACTTAGTTAGTTGATGCCTGTCCTCTTCAACACACAAGTGATTTGCACAAATTATATTCTTATAAACAGCTTTCTAAAATAATTTGAATATGAAATTTGTTGTACCAACATCCACTCGCTTGCTAGTTGGGGAAAGTCTTTGTTTCTCAGGTTTTTGAAAAAATACCTTGTGATATTTTTGATCTCCCGTGTCCATCTAATTTCTGTGCTTAACTACTTAGTCCCTTCAGATCTAACAAACATCTACTCCCTTCAAAAGAAAAGATCTGAATTTAGTCCTACTACCACTTAGATGAACTAGCTAGCTAAAGGAAGATGCACACCAAGTATTTCCTCTGCCATCTTGGACCAATATACCTTCAGACCTTTCTCAAGCGCAACAGATTCTGTGAAATATCCCACACTTGTCAAGAACTGCTGCAGACTAAAAGACAACTGAGAAATATAAGTAATCGTTTGGTTTAGTACATGAAAAGGCTTTATTGGTGTCCAAAGGAGAAAAATAATTCTCTGTATTCACATGTTAATCTTTTTGAAGACTGAACGTGCTTTTACACCAGTTAAACATTCAGTGAAGTTAAATGCCAGCATCCAGATACACTGGATACCATCTTAAACAATTTAGAATTCTGATAGCATGGGTTAATAGCAATAACTGTTGAGGGCAGAAAAGGACTTTTTGGCAATAATTTTAAAAGACAACACAGTGTATCTGAAACACTTCAGTTTTGGGGTTTTTTTCTTCTTTCCTTTTTTTTTAGTATGAAGTATATAATGATGGTATAAACTGAATAGAACTACATAGAGGAGAGCAAAGAAAGAATAAGTCCAAAGGAAGGCTGGTATAAAGCACAGAATCATAAATTCAGAACACATTGTTTATAAATTTACATAACCACAGCTTTCCTAGTAAGTCCCTGATCATCTGTACTTTGCACCATGGCTTGATCTTTCCATAGTGATTTTTCAGTCATGCTAGATTAAAGCAAGAAGAGTTAGACATATAGCAATTTCTACAGAATTACAAGGAGTCATTGTCATCAGTGAGGTTCATGGCCTATTATGCAAGGCACTGAAAAAAAAAAAATACAAAGAACTAGTTCCATGTCTGATTAAGTTTAGTATATAGATCTGTCAGGCCAGCAGTTCATTAAAATATTGGAATCAAGTAACTTTTCATAGGCATGAAATCAGGGAAAATCCAGAATTTGTAAGAAGTACCATAGAGTCAGATGCAGAACAATAAAACTCAAGAAGAATTAAGATAGTTTTGTGCTAACTACATCAATTTGTATGAGAGTAGCACTTTTTTCCCCACCTCCATTTCGAATTTCAGCCTGAATCAGCTCCTGTTTCAATCCTTCAATTTCTTTCTTCAGTTTAGCATTTTCTACACGGAGCTTCTTCTCTTCTCGGAGAGATGCTTGCAAGACTAGAGTTGACACATTAAAAAAAAAAACCAACAGGTTTCAGTAACTAGCATTCATCACTATGGACACAAAGGTATGTTTTTAAAGAAAAGTGAAACATGGTGAGCCAAACAGCACAAAAGTGAAAAATTTCAAGGAGTATATAATCAGAAATACTTAGGAATTATTTTCTTTGTTGTTGAAATAGACATTTTAACAATAGTTATATAATCAAATTGCCTCCCAATATACTATCTTCTCAGTCCCCTAAACAGAATCACAAGAAAAAACTCTGAGAAACCTACAGAAAAACCTTGATGATGTTTGTAATAGAGACCATCTTTGTTCACTGATACAGTTGAATACAAAGTATCAAAACTGAAGCTATGACACTCTTGAGAGAATGCCACAGTTGTGAAAAATCAGTACTAAATTCAGGATAAGGCATAGTCTCGTATTCTTTCCAACTCTTTTTCTGTCTTCATATGGAATCATGTTCTATCAAATTTCCATAATTTGTGTTTTAATTCTTCCTCATCCATACCTCTTCTATTTCAGAATAAGCAGCTTCAAAAAAGCCCAAACCAAACGAGAACAAAACCCCCACAGCCCACATGACAGTCAAGTGGGGCTACGATTGCAAGGTTTATCTTGGAGAACTTGAAACGCTTTAAAGGCTGACACACCAAATATTCTCATTTTCTCCGATGTGCATTTACTGTTAACCATCTGGTTAATAGGTTTAGCATAAGATAGATAAATCCTTACTGGCTTTTTCCTTGAGCAGGGCAAGTTGCTGCTTGAGGTACTCAATAACTTGATCGGCCTCAGCACCCTTCTGCTCCAGTCTGCTCAGCACTGCATTGTTGGCTGCCATCTTTACCAAAAAACGGGATAAAAACCTAGACAAAGAACAGCCTAAAATTAATGACTTCTTAAAGTAATAACATCATTATCTCTTACCATGTCAAGCAGTTCTCAAATGAGTTGCTGAACAAAGAAATTTGCTAAGTGAAAAGTTGGGCTCCTACCTCCTAACGCAAAGTCCAAACAAAAAGCAATGTTAAACAGAATCTGATGTTTGACAGCTGCTTTCAAGTGTTTTGAAATAAAAGCTATTTTTCTTCCCAGCAGAAAATGTGTTCTTCCTTCACGAAACAGGGAAAAGGTGGGGGGGCAGTGGGGGTGGTGGGGATGTGGAAGGAAATAAAAGGGGAAAGATTGGACCGGAAAACACTGTATCCTGGGCTTAACTAAAAAAAATTAAGTGTATATCAAATTTTATTGAGACTAAGAAAATGGAATCATGCCACAAAAATTTCCAAATGTTTCCAATAAATTCATTCAGAATATACTGAATACTTCATACATTGTGCTTGTGCATATATTAAGACTTCACTGTTTTAATAGTCATAATTCATAAGTATTTTTACTTATCTCAGATAAAAACAACTTTTATTAGAGGTTTTCAGAGTTATTTTAGCACCAATTTTGACTATTTGATTTTGCACCCACTGAAATGGAAGGGCCAGCACACAGACAACAAAGAAGCAGGGAACACAAAAGACCAGCAAAGAGCAAAAATAAATGCTGTCTAGCCTTTTATGGTATTCACCATTTACTAATGTTTCACTAATGTTCCAGAATGTAGTTATGCCTTGTGTACAGACTTTATTTTTTGAAAGCTACCAAATCTGGCCTACCTTCCTTCTCAGGAACATTTGTGTCTAAACACAAGAGCTCCAATAATGGCAACAGAATGATGAAAAACAGTTACAATCACTCATATCTGCAGCAGAGAGTGCTTTTTCCCTCCCACTCAGTATATAAATGAGAAAAGAATCTGTACTAACAGCTGCCTCTTCTGTAAATCAAGAAAACTGGTTACAGGTGGGAAGAAAAGATCTTTACAAGCAATGGTGATCTAATTCCTGTGAGGTGATTCAATTCCTGTAAATTTGTCCATGAACTGCAACAAATGAAAGAATTGGTAAGAAAATGGCAATCCAGGCACATGTATTGGCTCCTCAACTTTATCAAAATACAGAAATGCCTTTTCTCATATCAAATTGGCAGATAACTTCCTATTTTATTCCAAGACTATTGTAACACTATGATCTAAATCTGGTTTTAACATACAAATAATATTCCCTATTGGGATATGCAACAAAAGTCATGCTGAAGAAAAAAGAGATTAGGAATAACTGAAAGGTGAACAGCTACAATCACACTCATGCCAAGGCTAACATACTGTCTCTGCTGCACTCTAAAAATCAACACATGTTTTAGATCTGATCTTACATTATAAATAACTCAAATGTCCACAGGAATATATTTAAATTTTAAAAAATAACAGTAAAAACCCCAGAAAACTAACTACAATTATTCTGGAATAGGGTATTTAAAAGTCATAGTGTATTTAAAAGCTCCCAGAGTAAAATTCACAAAGCCAGAGAGAGGTGTAATAGACAGATGATGCATGGGGTATCTTGAAATGTGATGCAAGAACCAAAATCCTGCCTTCTTTGCAATGCAGTACAAACAAAGTCTGTTCTACACACACACTGTTTCACTTAAAGATGTGAGAGTATTATGGCCATCACACCTTCCACTCATCCACAACAGATTTTTCTTCTAAAAGAAAGAAACTCTCTTGGAGCAAAGAGCAGAAAAATCTCTCCAGGACAACTAAATTAATTTTTATATTCAAATTAATGTCTGCTAACAAGAAAATAATTTTGTTTTCATGGGCAGACTGAAAACAGAGAGTTTCAAAAAGGAAACCAGTGATTCCAATAAGCTCCTAATTGAGATGTCAAATGGAAACAGACATAAAACTATTATGGCACAACACAGCATAATACAAAGCCTAGGATATTACAGTCTGCATACCAGTAAGATTTCTTGCAAGCTACAAATTCTCTCAGGGGAACACAATACTAACAGAGGAAACTTTTCCAACAACAACAAAAATGCTACTAAAACTTCAAAGTGAATAGAACTGGTACATTTTATAGATTTTAGCCAAGTTGGCTAATGAACTGAAGATCTGGAAATGAAGTTACATGATTACAATTTTCCCACTTGTCAAATAAATTTCTGTAAAGCCAGTATTGCAACAATAACACAAAGGAATATGTATTTCCGATGCTAATATGGACAGGCAACAGGCTGAAATGAACTGCTGCAGGAACAAGCACAGGAGCCCGTACAGCAGAGTGATAAAATTGTATCCAAAAAGGGCACATGAAGGAAAAACAGGAAGATCCACCCTTTTATTATTCTATAATATTTATATTCTATAATAATAGAATACAAAACACACTAAAAATATGAGAACTGCAACAATCAAAAGTTATACTCAATTTTCTTTTTTTCTTTTTCCACCTTTACTCTATTTTCTTTGCCTTCCGCTATCTTATCACCCTAACCCAAAAAAAAATCCTACAACAACCAACCCTTATTGGTGATACACAAACGAAAAATTAGAAAGAAAACCAGAAATAATATAGCTTAAAAACCAGATCACAGCTTACTGCAGATATATTCTGACCTGCTTAGGAAAAAATGTCCCAAAGAGCAACTGAAAGTAAAGTCACTTCATCCAATCGTGCCTAATGAGCTCCTTTCCCCTGCTTTGAAAAACAGGTATGGTGTATTTACATTCAGACATTCTGGAAAAGTGCTTAAGTTACCTGCTTGCTTAGCTAAGGGAAACTGGTTTATCTCAGACCTCTGGGGACTGCTGGGTTATTTGCAAGACACTCAGGACCACTCCAAAACCCACTTGCTCCACTCAGTGGAACTCAATCTTGAAATGAAGGACTCAAGCTGTACAGCTATTCATTACACTGCACATCAACTCATGAGAGCTGTTTCATTTCTCACCATTCTACCTGCTGATTAAGAGAGTTGCCCATGTTTTTTTAAACTGAAAGCACTGCCTGATGCCATCTTCTAAGTAGCTGCAGTTTCCTTGCAGGAGAAAACAGGCACTATCTCACTTTGCTGCTCAAAAACAAGTAGTGTGGAAGTGTCCCCAAAGTGGCAACTCTCTATAACAAATCAAGACTTCTCATATAAGTACAAATTATCCCCAAATTTTAACATGTTTTACAAATACTATATCAACACTGGCCTCAACTTTAAAATATATTCAAATCAAAATCAGAACACACAAAAGAGGCTAAAAATGTATATCTGGTTGTACCTTACTTTTCAATGCTGTCGATTGTTAAAAAAAAGAAAAAGCCAAAATCCTTATAAAATCAATGACAAAATTTAAAACTTAAAACTAAAAATTAGTTTTGGAATCTATCCATAGTCTGAACATAGAACCAATTACTTTCCACTATTGGAAAAGCAACCACTAAACAGAAAAAAACCCAAAACCACAAACAAACAAGCAAAATAAAAAGCAACACCTGAAACTGGAAAACAATTGATTGCTACAGCCTAAAACAATTAGCTCTGAGCATTCCTTTTTCTGGAATGCTGGAAGTTTTAAAAAGCTCAGCACTTTGAAGCTCTCAGCTTTTTCTTGCAATGCGTTGCTAATATCAACACAAAAAGATTACAACTGCAGGAGATTTAACCACAAGTGCCTCCTTCTCCTCTCTTCCTCTCCCCCGTACACATTAATTCCTTCACAGTAAGAGGGTAAACTTTGACAGCCCACCACACCTGGACAGCATTCTCCTCTGCATGGAGCTTTGCACTCACCCATTGCAGCTCTGTGCTTGCCATGGAGGAATCATGAATTCCTAAAGCAAAGCTAATTCCATTCACCTTTAACAAAGAGCAGGAAACAACCACACAAAGGCCCAGGTGGCATTTTCTGTGAGGCACACGTTATTGGTATGTTAATGAGTGCCAACCAAGATCTAAGATTTTATTTTCTCACAAGAGGAAAAAAAAAAGATCTGACATGCTGGCTTTTCAATTGAGATTATCTGTTCAAATCAAACAGAATCAGTGGCATATTCTAAAAGTTATCAACACCACAAAGGTAATTTCTCCAATGCTAACTAAAGTTCAATAATTTAAGCTATATAAAAATGCTTAATGTTAATTCCTCTTCCTAAGCTTTTGGTCTTAAATCCTAAGGAGATGTCAAATTAAACTCTTTTGCTTCCTTTGCAGAACTGTGGCCAATTTGTATAGCAAAGTATGCTACTCTCTGTAAAAAGACCAAGTACCATCACTTTGTTTCTACAAGAAGTGCGTTCAAAACCTTCTATCTGAGCATCTTTTCTGAGTATGGTCCTTTCTGGCACACAATCTTACAAAAACCCATAAACATAACAGAATGTGCCAGCTGTTTGCCAGACTCTGCTTTCCTGCGCTTTGCACTTCTATGAACTGTGAGGATACAGTGAACCAGATTTGAGAATCTCACATCACACCTTTTTATTCTGCAAGGTAAGGAGCAACAGTTAGCAGATCAAAACAGAAGAAAGCAGACCAGAAGTATGTTTTCTTTGGCTGAACCAAAGTATCACTGCAACTAGGCAACTGTTGTAACTCATCCCATATTTTCTCATGTTGGAGAACTGAGACCCACGCTTTATAAATCAATTCTTTCTTAAAGGTTCCTTCTAACTTCTGATAAAATATTCTAGGCCTGATGCTGTCAGCACCTTTTGCTAAGATTTAGAATACCTGATTTGATGAGTTCACATTTTTGGAAGAAAAACTTAAAACAGATCTTAGTTCTCAAATCTCCGAAAATTTAGGCTATATAAAAAAAATCCAAGCCAAAACACAAGAGAGCTACAACTAATTAGTTCTGAGATCAAATCTTAGTTTTGACTTGATCACCCTCAAACTTCACTCTAAGTAATGCAAAGAAAGTGAGCAGCAATTCCCCACTTGTCTTAGGGAAGCTATAGCCTGAAACACT